AGCATGGAGCACTACACGAATCATCTGATAGAAAGCTTACACGAAGCATGCAGAAATCACCTTCCTATCCGTGTGGCCAAGAAAATACAGAGTGTCAGCTGGTGGACCAAAGAGCTGAGGCAGCAAAGGCAAAAATGCAGAGCCCTTCGACGACGTCTCCGCGCCGCTATTAACGTATTCTTGAAAACAGACATAGCGGCCACCATACGGCGATGGTCAGTATTAACCTTAAGAACGCCTTCGACACGCTGTGGAGGCCGGCAATAAAATCAGCCCTGAGAAGATCTAAATGTCCTAATAATGTTTATGCAATGATAAGCAATTATCTGCAGGACAGGAGACTTTTAGCAGTACACAATGCTGGCATTATTGAAAAGACACAGACGAGAGGGTGTCCTCAGGGGTCGTGCGCCGGGCCACACCTTTGGAATCTTACTTTCAATGAAGTGCTTACTGCTCCATGGCTGGCGCACACCCGGATTTTCGCATATGCGGACGACGCCGCCGTGATAGTAAAGGGCTCAACACGAAGGGAATTGCAACGTAATTGTAACGAAGTGTGCACTCTCTTTCAAGAGCGGTGCAATAAACTGAAACTGATTATTGCAGAACAAAAGTCAAAAGTTCTTCGCAGGTCCACAATAAAAATTAATGGAGAGCGGATAAAGATAGTGTCAGATATCTTGGCGTCATTTTTGACGAAAAAATGAATTGGATCCCCCACGTGCAAAGCCTTAAACTAAGGACAACTGCAATAGCTCGACAAATGAAGATGTTCTATGGATTTAAATGGGGACTGAACCCCCACATACAAAAGGTGCTGTATTCCACAGTGGTAGAAAGAATAGTTACGTATGCTGCTGCAGTATGGGCCTACCCAATGCAAGGGAGAAAGGTTAAACACCTTAATGCCTTTCAACGACCCTTTGCATTGGGTATTACCCGGGCCTATCGCACCACTTCAAGCGACGCCATTAATGTGCTGGCAGGCTTACTCCCCCTTCACATCCGTGCTGAGGAGGAGGCGGCACGACAGCAAGTATTACAACTCAAAAAAATGGTCACATTTGATGAAGAAATTTACTCCCCTGAGGAGTATGAGGAAAGCTGCAACCCGTTGGATGTACACCCAGCGGCTAAAGGAAGAGGGCTATACGTCTCGGTGAAGCCTAAGTATAATAACCAGCCACTTGGCCTGACAGTTTACACGGACGGGTCAAAGTTGGAGGATAAAGTGGGCTGTGCCTACGCCGCCATGAGGCATGGATCATCATAGAAAAATGGAAGGACCGGCTCAGACAAAACAGCAGCGTTTTCCAAAGTGAAGCCTTGGCCATATTGCAAGCAATCCACTATGTACATTCCATAAGATGCAGGCAGGCCACAGTAAAAACTGACAGCTTGTCAACATTACATGCGATTTGGAACCCCGACCATCCCTCTGAAATTATTCAAGAGATACAGAAGGCCATTAGAAATAATCCAAATTTTAAGATTACATTAGAATGGATAAAAGCACACACGGGCCATGAAGGGAATGAAATGGCAGATCAGCTTGCCAAGGAGGCCACCACAGAAACAGCAATAGCAGAGACAGTTATACCATGGCCGCGTTCTTACTTCAAGCGTACACTGAGATTGAAAGCAATGAAGTGGCAATGTGAATGGGACGAGAGCAACACAGGGAGGAGGACCCATTACTTCTGTGGTTATGTGGACACAGACAGAAATATAGCAAACACGCAGCTCGCAAGGTTTATCTCAGGGCACGGTCCCTTTCCTGACTATTTCTACAAACGTGGTTTCTGCAATACAAGTCAGTGCGCATGTGGAGGACCGGGCTCGCCAGAGCATTACTTGGAGACATGCCCGCTGACTGAGGGCCTCCACATTAGACTACCAGCCAATAACAGACAGCCGTTCTGTAAATATCTGATTAAGCAACGGCACCTAATTAAAAAGATTGTGCAATTAATGGACAAATTAGCGGAACTCAATCTGAATTTGTGCCAAATTTAGCTCCGTAACATAAAGCGTATGTTATCCTCAAAATAAAATATCCTATGCAACTATAAGATTTAATGTCAGCAGTAAAAATTATAGACCCAGAATCAATGAGAGTATTAAGAAAGTAAATATGTAAATAAATATAATAAACTCGCGAGTAATACATATAAATGTGCATGAGTCATACCTTCAACAAGCAATGCAAACAGAAATGTAGAGTGGTGCAAGCAAGCAATGTACAGTGCATCCCCGTCAAAGTACAACGCTATATACATGTAAATATGCTCAGTGCAAATGTGTTTATTAAGCAAGCGTGTTAAACAAGTGTGTTTTCAAGTGTACTCCAATTTACTGGCACACAGCATTATCACATATATACCCGAAAATGTGCACTGTATACTCGAAAATGTGCATATAGTGCACATAGGCCATCCTTAATATAAGAAATCTTATGCAATCATAAGACCCAATGGTATCAGTAAAGATTATAGATCTAGTATTTAAGAGAATACTCAAGAATGTAAATATGTAAATAGATTTCATAAGCATCGCTTGTAATATGTAATATGCTCCGCGTATGTAAATATGTAAATATGATTGATGCAAAAGTATTAATCGAGTGCGTCGCAAATTGATTTCAGCATAAATAGTGCAAATATGTAATTAAGCCTCCTCAGTCTAGCAAGCAACATTACAAGTGTTGCCTCAATGTGGAAAGAAAGTTATGTAATGGTGTAAATATGTAAATAAGTTTCTATTGATAGCAAGCACCATTACAGGTGCAAAAGCAAACGTTCACAACAGGATATGAATATAAAACTGCAGCAAATAAGGGATGTAAATATAAACTGCAGCAAATAAGTTTAGCAGGAACCCGAGGATGGACGACACTATGAATGCCTCAAAGCTTATAACACATGAACTACTACCAATGAACCGAACTAATAAACAGAAATCCAATGACTGTACTATATGTATCAGTAATTACAGACAATCATATGTAATAATCGAATAACAATGTAACAAACAGAATTATAATGTACTAGAAAGCAATATAATGTGCCAGAAAGCAAAATCTGTGTGTAAAACCAGAAAATGCATGTAATCATATGAGTAGCCCTTGTAAGGCCATCTTTATATTAATTCTATGATTTAATAAATACTGGGCCCGGGCGGTAGGATGGAGTGAACTCCCGGGGGCAGTTTTGGTCAGATGGACCGCCACCGGGGTGAATTAGGCGTTGGGTTTGGGCGCCAGGTGTGGCTTCAGGGGTTGTTTTAGATAAAGGTGGACGTGGTGGTACACCAATTAACCTATGGTGGAGGGGTGGTGCCCACGTCCTCCGTCGCATGTCGCATGTCGCCACTATTAACGAAGAAAAAAGACACACCTACTCATGACATACCGTAAAGAGCGTGCAGCATACAAAAAGAACATCATCACGGCTAAAGTCACCAGCTGGCGCACCTTCTGTACCAACAACAACAATCCTTACGGGATCCTACACAAAATCTCGTCGAATAAGATTTTCAACCCGGCCCAGATCCACGCACAACACACCATGGATTTTACCACCAACATCGTGCAGAGCACAGCTTCCACCATTCTGGACACCGTCTTCTCAAACGATGACCCAGAAGAGGACACGTTAGAACAACGAAAGGTTCGCAATAACACCACCATTCCTGCGACACCTCCCGATGTACCCTTTAGCGATAAAGAAATCAAACAGCTGTTCCGTCACCTTCCTCGAAAAAAAGCGCCAGGACCTGACGGCTTAGATTATTCAATCATCCATACAGCTTATAAAGCACGCCCCTCCTTCTTTAAGACCTACTTCAATCAAATTCTTCATCAACAAATCTTTCCAGCAGCTTTCAAAAGAGGACATGTCGTTCTCTTTCTTTCTTCTTAAAAAGAATAAGAACCCACAAGACGCAAGTTCTTACCGGCCCATCTGCCCCCTCTCTGCTTTAGGCAAGATTTTAAAGATTCCTCGTTAACAGGCTCAAGCACCACCTGCACAGAATTAACCATTTCTGCCCCCGGCAGTATGGATTCCGCATAGGATTTTCCACGACACATGCACTTTACAATATTCAGGCTACAACAATAAAAACAGCGACATGCACACAGCCTTCATTTCTAAAGACCTAAAGAGTGCATTCGACACCCTCTGGTGGCCAGCAATTAAGCAGGCCCTCAGAGGAGCACACTGCCCTTCCAACCTATTTAACATCTTCAACAGCTACCTCCACGACCGCCATATTCAGTTTGTAAATAACGACGGTTCGACATCCAAGGTACAAGAAAAAGGTTGTCCGCAGGGGTCCTGTGCGGGACCGATACTCTAGAACCTCACCTTCAATTCAGTCCTTGAAACCAACTGGCCACAGCATACAAACATCACTGCTTATGCAGACGACGTAGCCCTGCTCGTAAGAGGACGCACCAGGAAGAACTGGAACGCAACGCAACAGCACGAGACCTGCACCTTATTTACCACCGCATGCAACAAACTTAAAGCTCACGATCTCCCATAGGAAAATCGTCAGCAATAATAATTCCCAGACGAGGTACCAATCCAACTCGTCGTCCATGGCATCAAAACTCCTAGGCCGAAACATCAAAATTGCTGCGGAATCTCAAGTATTTAGGGGTAGTATGGGACCAAAGGTCTCACCTGGATTCCGCATATCATGGAAACCAGAAACAAGACGTCAAATATCGCCCGCATAGCAAGACAATTTCAAGGTCGCAACTGGGGCCAAAACCCCCCCATATCCAAAAAGTGCTATACCTCACAATTGTAGAAAAAATAGCTTTATACGCTGCAGTGATCTGGGCGCAGCCAATGGGTACTCGCAAGATCAGGCAACTTACTATTCTACAACGCCCCTTCGCCCTGCAATTAAGCAAAGCCTACCGCACAACCGCCACCAGTGCAGCAACAGTTCTAGCCGGCATATTACCACTCCATATAAAAGCAGAGATGGAGGCAACTTTTACTAAATTGATCCACCTACGCAAAGATGGAACTTTCGCAAATACCAGCTACAGTCCAGTTCAGTTCGAACGTCCCTCCACTTCTACCCATACTTATCCAGCTCTCAGAGGAAGTGGAACCCACATCAAAATTGACAAGCAACAGACTCACACCTCGACACACGCACCACGGAATGGGAACCAGATCTACACAGACGGTTCAAAGCAGGAGAATGGTGTAGGCAGTGCTTTTGTGCACTATGAGAATGGCAAAACTGTACACGACTGGCAAGGACAACTTCGCACTCACAATAGCATCTTCCAGGCGGAAGTACTGGGAATTACGGCAGCAGTGCAACATCTCATAGATTGCCAGATCCCACGAGCAAATATCTATACCGATTACCTTTCAACTTTACTTGCACTTGAGAACCATCATCATGTCTCACCTCTCATACTTAGTCTCCAACATCTCCTTATGCAACACCCTCATTACCATCTCAATCTAGTCTGGGTTAAAGCCCATGCGAATAATGAGGGCAACGAGGCTGCTGACACGTTGGCCAAAGATGCAATTTCCAACCCGTCAGCCCAACCCATCACCGTACCTGCGCCCTGCTCTTATCTAAAGGGCCTCCTACGAGAGCAAGGAATGCACCAATGGCAACGTGAGTGGACCGAATACGAGACAGGCAGACGGACTTTCACCTACCTCCCGAAAGTTTCCACCGATCGACTCTTTGCCGTAGCACCTCTCACCTACTTCACCACGGCTCACGGCCCGTTTCCCAGCTATTACAATCGCCACGGCATCTCAAATACAGATATTTGTGTCTGTGGATCAGAAGGGTCACCAGACCATTACGTATTTGAATGTCCTTTGACGGCTGCACATCATCTTCCGCTACCTACAAATAATAGGAACGCCTATCACCGGTTCCTTATAACGCATAAAGGAGCGGTTAATTCAATCTCCAGCATCATGGATACCATTGCGGCATTGGGCACAGATCTTTCTCTACCGTGCTAAAATGACGCTCTGGTGTACTGACGATAAGCTCTAAGACTAGTCCAGTGAATTTTACAATATCTGGGCTTCACCACAACTGTGTGTTTAAGCTCCCCTGCCCGCAATCTAAAGTGGCAATACTAACAATTCGCAAATATGTGGCATCTCCTTAGTGAACGCTTGTGTGCCTCACGATGCACACATTGCTGGGGCACTGCCCAATAATTAGTGCTACAACATCCTCGCGCCTTTTATGTTTTTATCTATGTTCTTAGCGACGCTACAATAATCAACGCATTAGCAATCTAACCGCACTCTTCTGCACACATGAGTATTCATGAACTCATCATTCATCATTCAAGATGTGCCTGTATTTATATACAACAGAACTGCCTTACACTAACATTGTGCTCCAGCTTTCATGTGACTTCATGTACTCCATTTATCTTTTTGTGCCTTAAGTGATTATGTGTATGTACCTGTTTTTTGTGCTCTCTGTTTATGCATTTTACGCATTGTGCTTTGTGTATTGTTGCCTATGCATTTTTATGTCTTTTTATGCGTACGTCTTATTATCCAAGTATTTTTAGTTTAACTACCTACTATCTGTAACACCACAGCTTGCCTCTTCAAACTGTAATACAATTCTACTAATGCCCTTGTAAGGCCATGTACTTCCCTTTGACAACCTCAATAATCTCCTGGTGCAGCCTCGTGTGGTTCCAGGAAGCTTTTGCCGTAGTTAGAGGAGGGCTTGGAACACATGCCTGTTTACCTCTGTTAGACACCAGGCGTTCCAGTCCTCCGTAACCTACCTACCTACCTACTTTCAGAATGCCTAAAGAAAAAGAGCAAGAATGAAGCAGAATGCCTGAAGAAAATGAGAAGAAAAAAACATTTTTGCGAAAAATTTATTATTTCTATTTTTTTTTAATTTAAAACTTTTTAATCTTATGATACTTGATTCTTGCGATTTCCAAAATAAAATATTTGACTAAAATATGAATAACATTTTAAGAAACCAAATGTAGGTTAAAATTGTGTAAAGCAGTGAGCAAAATGATAAAACTGTTTAAAGCAGTGTATGGCAAGTCATCCTAAGTTAATATGTCGGTTATACATCTCTCTTATTATATATATCTTTTCTGAACGGAACATTGAAAGGGCGTTTTACTGTGCATTACTGTATTTTTCTCTTTTTAATATATGCAGTTTTCAAATGCATCGTAGTCTGGGTTACAAAGTATTCTTCCGAAAGAAACGCAATTCAAATAAATAAAATCAAGTTCTGGAAAATTTATATTAATAAATATATTTAAAATGCTCAGTTCGAATGAATAAATAGAAAATTTTGAAATAATTATCTGAAGAGACAATGTGACACTAACAATTAAAATAAAAGTCTAAAAAATTAAAAATTACCTAAAATAGTAACTATGACTAAAAATATAGTATAAAGAAAACTATTTGAAAAAAAAAATATGAACGATGCACCTTTGATTTAAACTGCAGTTCGAATGAGTAAATAGAAATTTTTAAAACACTTGTTCGAAAGAAACCATGCAACCTAAACAATTAAAATGAAATTCGAAAACGAAAAAATACTTAAAATAATAAAAATTATAATTAAAAATATAATATGAAGACCATTATCTAAAAAAAGGAACGATCGTGACTCTTTTCCCCTCACGCACGAGGTAGAAAGGTAAATTTCGCACCAAATTTTACAAAATTTAGTATTTAGACATAATTTGAGTCGTAGAATCGAAATATGTAAAAAAATGATATGTTATTTCAGAAAAAGTCCAATTTTGTGTCAAAATACCTATGTTAGAATAGTGTTATATATAAATCTAATATATATCCTAAGTCGCGCTTTCGAGATATAAAGGACGCAGTTTGAATTTCGTGAATCGGCCCAGTAGAACAGGAAATATAAAAAATGTCCCCCCTCCCCCCTTTTTTTTTGAGCAGTGTACATTAACTAAACTAAATAAGCATTTCAAAAGTAACTTCTATCGAGTTTCTTATACTCAAATTTAAAGCCTTGGCGAAATAGAATATGTTACATCAGGAGAAAAAAATAATTGTTGCACGTAATCGAATGAAGCAAATGCACAGCTATATCTTAAATAAATCTTATTTATTAAATAAGCGCGTAAAGCTCCATGTTTCCATACGACAATAGGCTGAAATAATATCACAGTAAATTTTACTCTCTTATAATTTCGTATTGGTAATTTAGCAATAGACGATTTCATGTTCTTAATTTTCTATTTCTAGAAGATTAATTCTTAAATTAGTAGGATAATTATAACTCTATAGTCTAAAATTGTTTAAGGCTTTAAACGAATCAACATAAATTAAACTGCGGTTTTTTAAAGTTTATGATGTTTATAGTTTTTAATATTTTTAGCTTTTTATAACTTCTAAATGGCAACTGTTTGAAGCTTTAGCGTCTAATCTAACGTTTTTTGGCGGTAAATCGCACAGCTATGATAGATTCAATATAGGTATTGATAAAGTAATCAAAAACATCTCTCTGCTGGATAAAAAAGTAAAAAGGAATTTCTGTTTCAGATTTAACTGCATGACAATTAAATTAAATTATAATACTGAATGCAGGTATCTTGCTTAGTATGTCTGCTAATAAGCGATCATTATAATGACGTGAAGATTTCTGCGTCAGAAAAGGGAAAAAGAAATATTATGCACGAGAAAGTTCCGTGCTCTTCATACACCCTCCTACACATTCTGAGACATTCCTGAAACTGATCAATTTTTACATGCCACCTAGCAAGCAGCCATAATTTATATCCTCCTCACATTTCCAGGGCGCTGAGTTTCAACTTTCGGTGCCCATGTGCACGTTAGGCAAGGTAAAGGAGCTAAGACAATAATTCACTGATAAACGCTCGCTAGGATTCATACATCATTTCTAAATGCATCTTCGGTGGATGATTTATATTCCAGCTGAGCTATACATCTCCATCATTGAAAGCAACCATCTTTGCTGATCGAAGTTCTCAGTGTGAGGTGGAGGACACGAATAAGTCTCTTTTTATCCGAGC